TATATATACTTCCTATAGTGTGCCAGATGTGGTAGTCTATAGTTTCTAACCTTTACTTTCCCTGTAATTATGTTTGTAATAAAAACATGTGCAAGTCGTAGCACTTTTTTCTCAACATTTTTTATGGTCCATTACACTTTTAATGTGCATCCCATTCATTCATTTGGAAGTTGCTTGCTTTACAGCCTAAATTGATCACAGTACAGTACTAGCTACTAGCACACTGTCAATTACAGCTACCAACGCAACAAAAAATGCCGACTAATGCTTATCCAAGCTTTTTTTTTTTTAAGCATTCGGTTCTAAAGGTGTGTATGTAGATGGGAAGTTGAGGTAGAAACACCACTCATGCGAACATTCATATTTATTGATCAGGACACCTACATTTCCATTCGGTGATAAACTTGTGTTTAATTAAAGCACACGTCCGTCTCGAAAACAAGGCACATCTATGCAGGAGACAATGCAATTGCTATCATCAAAAGGAATTAACATCCGTTCGCTTAGAAAATATCCTGAATTAATTTCAATCTGTGAAAGCTTGATGTATAAAAAAAGGGAACACGTTAGGTAGTTTTCGTTCAACGGAATGTTGGTTCAGTAGTATTCAGTCACATGCATAATCTTTTTTTTTTTTTCTTAGAAGTGGAGCTGTTCAGTATTTAGAATGCAAAGCAGCAGAAATCACACAATCATCTCCGAAACTCAAATACTCGAATATGTGCACGCTTGAAAAGTGAATAAACATGTCCCTTATTATCCCTAAACGTATAAGATGATATTTAATTCTCTCTATCTCGGCCTTCAAAGTTTAGGCTCCTCCTGGTCTCCCCCGCCGGGTTCTCCATCTGCGGATTCGGTCTGGATGTCGCCCTGTTTCATCTCCTCGAGGTTGGACTCTTCCTTGTGGTCCTTCTTCCACTTCATTCTGCGGTTCTGGAACCAGATTTTGATCTGTCTCTCGGAGAGGCAGAGGGCATGGGCGATCTCGATCCTCCGCCTCCGGGTCAGGTACCGGTTGAAGTGGAACTCCTTCTCCAGCTCCAGGGTCTGGTGCCGGGAATAGGTCTGCCTGCCCCGCTTTCGGTTTGGACCTGCAGAGAATACGAACATAATAACTTAATAATACTGTATTATTATTATTATTATTATTATTATTATTATTATTATTATTATTATTATTATGTTATTTTTTGGAAGCTGGCAATACAAAACTTGTAGCTGCAGGCACAATGTATTCCTCTGTGGTATTTCATTAGTGTGGTTCGTATTTTCGTATTACTTCAAATTTCCTCAACAGACACAAGTGATTTTCTTTGGTTGTTTTGTTATTTGTTTGTTTGTTTGTTTTTGACACTTTAAAGTGGTCATGTTGGAGTCATTTGCACATGTCTGTAACCGCTGGTGTGAAGAAGGCCTTTCCAACTAAAAGCCTATAATGGTCTTCACACTCACACGCACACACACACAAACACACACACACACACACACACACGTTGCTGGATTAAAAACGAACCAGTTGTCACTGGCAAAAAAAAAAAAGTATATATATAAAAAGACAAAGTTTCATTGTGCTCTAAATCCATCTGACGGAAATTGTGAGTCATATTGATCCTGGTTCTCAGAGAACAACATAGCCTCTGCGGTGCAGACTCAATTAGAAAGAAGCTGCAGAGTACAGGGGAGCTGATTTACGCCACAGACCGGACTCTTTTACAGCCACAAAGGGGGAGAAGAGGCTGTAAGAGTAATAGGAGTGCAGAGGAAAAACCCCCAGCGGCAAGTCTCTGCCTATAGTGAACACACAGGAGCTTTGGCCAAATGAATTTATGGCTGCAGAACTCATTAGTTGCGCAATAAAAAGTTTTACGATTCTTTCCATGCAACAGGAATGAGCTGGTGGGTATTAATCGAACTGCTAAGGTCCGGCGTAAGTATTATTTTTTTTAATGTCATTGTTTGGTTTTGGGGTCAGAACTTACCTGATGCCCTCATCCAAGGGTACATACGGTACTGTTTGTCCGGAGGCGAGATGAGGGGTCCCGGTCCCGGGTGACAGCAGCTCTCGCTGACCAGGCGGCCCTGATCAAGCCCCTGATCAAGCGGGCTGCTGCAGTCCTGAGTGTGTATGTCCCGTCCCAGGCCATATCCCGAGGTAAACACAGGGTTCAGACTCTGGTAGGCTGCGTTATTGACGCTGTAAACTCCAGAGAGGGATGGCATAAACGTGATGGCCGCAGTCCGACGGTTCTCCCCGCCAGGTCCAATGCCACAAGACGCTCGCTCGACGATCGGAAACAGAGAACTACCCGGCGCAGATTTGCAAAGGAGACTGTCCACATAATAAGAACTCATATTTTTTTTCTCTTTTTTCACCCCTGCTCTGATTTGTTGGCCCAGAATCCTCAGTGTCGTTTTTACGAGGTAGCGTGATATATGACAGCAATACACCCTAGATTTACACCAAACCCCATTTTTACTCTGGACCAAAGAACTCAGCCATGTGACTAAGGCCCGGTTGCTCTCGTCCAATCAGCAGAGGCGTGGATGTCGCGATGGCACCGGACCACGGAGCGGGATCAACACCTCACACACATAAACACGTAGAGTCGAATAAACACGCTGCAGAGAAATTCTCACAATCTAAACGATCTGGAGATGCAGTTACAGACGTAACGGTATTATGTCGCTTCCCTCCTTCCTCACCAAAAGACTGGAAATAAATTATTCTTTTTATTCGTTTACATCTAGTGGCGTATAACTATTCTCATAAATCCAATAATTAACGCCAATGGTATATTAGCAGTGTGACCGCTGATTTACTCCTTTTTAACACTTTACACTAGATTAACTATTGAAAAGTATAAATGTAACGAAATAATGGTGAGAGTGCTTTGAATCTTTTACGAGTATTTTAAACGAATCAGTTAAGGGACTTAGTGATAAACTCAGTTTTATGCAAATACATCTTTATTTATATTATGTATTAATATCTCTGAAGCTAAACAAGTTATGCACTATGTTGTCTTTGAATTTAACACACAACTGAGTCAAATATGTAATTTATGATAATGAAAAGCTCCTTCAATTTGAAATGACAAGTAAAATCAGCCTTATAATAAAATCTCTGCTGCTATTATTATTATTATTATTATTATTATTATTATTATTATTATTATTATTATTATTATTATTATTATTATTATT